ATATTTGTATAATAATGCAGTATTAACAAAAAGAATTACAACTGACATACTTTTTAAGTTGCAAACACCAACCGACGTGGAATCTTTAGTTCAGTCTTATGCTAGACAGTATTCGGTAGCCCCAAAATTATCGTGAATTCAGCAGTTTGGCCACGTGGCAAGAAGAATTAAAAACAACAGATGGACAAAGCGGATTATTGGATGGTAACCACGTAAGGTAAATGTGGTAAAAGAATCAGCAACTGCGCGGTATGTGATTGAAAAAAGCTCAAAATAAAGGAGAATGGAGAGGGTGCTAACTATTTCAACGCCGAAGAGAAACATGACGATGAAACAACATCTGATCAAAATATGAAAATGCAAGCCATTTTTGCATTTGATTAGTACGGCTTGTCGGCGATTGCTCTCAGATTTTTGTAAAAAAGAACAAAATCGCAAACTGCAACTTACATATGGCCCTGGATCTCCTTTAACGCCTTTTGGTCCAGGTAATCCCGGAAAACCCGGTGAGCCCGGTAATCCAGCGCGACCTGGATCTCCTCGATCACCTTTCCTGTTGATAGAGTTGATACCTCCTTCACCGGGCGGTCCAGGATATCCGGCTCGTCCCGGTTCACCGGGTGGGCCTCTGGGACCCGGCGGACCTGCTAGCCCTGGAAGTCCTGGTCTTCCCTGAAAACACCAAATATATGGATTTCATTTAAGGAAGCAAACTTTGAGGTTTCGTGTTACCGGTTACTCGACTGAAAAAGGCTGATTGGCCAAGAAAACTTTCTTTGCTGGTCATAAATTTGTCTTCCTGTCGGCAAACTTCAAAATGTGAAAAAATTTTTTCCCCATCGCAGCAGCTGTTTATGCTGACAGCCTAGCAATATGAGGGAGCCGCTGTATTAAAAAAAAAGCAGCCAGGAAGTGTAAAATAAATTAGCAAATTTACTGGCTGAAAGAAGGAATTTTGGGCCGCAGGTGTCAAATTTACGGTTTTTTTAAAAATATAAAAATTTTTTCCCCATCGCAGCAGCTGTTTATTGCAGATACTACACTTATGCTCGAATGGTAGCATGGATGTCTGTACAATCAGTGTGGATATCTCGTGTTAGTGATGTCTGATGATGAATAAAAAAACTGTGTGGGACAAGAAGCGAAAAGCTTACATCGGTTCCATTGCAACCAGGAATGCCCTGTTCACCTTTCATGCCCGGTAGACCATCAAGACCTTGAAGTCCAACATGGCCTGGGACACCTGGCAAGCCTCGATCACCCTGCAAATTTAATTTCAATTAAAATCCAGTGCTGAAAAGAATACCACTCGGTTGTATTGGCTTAGTGGCAGAATTAGCGCTGCTTTCATGCAGAAGATCATCAGTTTGAATGTGTTTCTGGCATAGCCAATTCCTCCAGGACTTATTCATTCGTTTCGATGGTAAATTGATACTTGTGCATGCCAAGGAATGAAGTCTATCACAGTACTGGTTTCTTTCTATGCAACCTTCAAAAGAGGGAGCCATCAACCGATTTGGTTGCTCTTAGCACATGAGTAACCCCACCTCACGTAGAAATGAAATTTCGGAAGGGATTTTGTTTCTGGCCCATCAAAACTATATTTGGACAAATGTCTGCCAAAATTTTTTGCGAATTTTTGGAGAAGTACAGTATCTAGGAAATACGGTGGAGCGATGAAGCCCTAATAGGCTGAAACAAGTGCCGGATATGGATCCTCTGCTTATTGCGATTCTGCGGAAATACTGAAATGTTTTAGAACTGACCCTGACACCCTTGAGACCAGGATCGCCGTAGTCACCTTCAGTACCTTGCATACCCGGTGCGCCATGCGGCCCCTCACCGCCATCCTGACCCGGTGCTCCTGGATGACCTCGTTCACCTTGGAATCCTGGTACACCCTGCAAACAAATCATATCATTTTCTCTGAATTGTTTCACAAATAATCTTCCATTGATTAAGCAATCAATCAGCACTTGCCAATCCGTCCTTAGCTGCGAGTGCGGAGACTTCTTCTGCTAGGATAACCACGAAGCGACTGATAAAGATTCCACTCAATTTCAAGCAAAACGGGAATAATCGATTTAAATTTAGTTCGAATGCGATCTCCGGGATAGAACTTTCGGATTTTAACACCACCGTCCCTCTACTAAAGGTCGGAAACTCAACTTTTTATCAGGCCCTCCAGGATTCGTTCATTTGTTTTGGCGGTAAATTGGTATTAACATGTGCCAGAGAGTCGAACCCTCCATTAGCTTGTTTCTAAGCAATCCTCGAAAGAAGTGCCATCAACAAACAGTCGTACCAGCAGATGTTTGCTTTTGGCACTTGCTACCACTCGGCCTACTTACGAGCATCTCCTCCTCTCAAACATTAATTACAAAGCGAGTTTTTTTCTTTTGATATTACTGTAAAAGCTGTTCTAAACCTCCTGGAAAAGTCGCAAAAAATGGTCTTCACACATCAGACAGGCAAATTGGACTAGCTGGAGGTATGCAGTTCAGGATCAAGGACCTGGCGTAGTTGCGCTCAACGTATAGGATATTCCAGGTACCGCGCAACGCAACTAACATGGGATCCCGACACCGTTTGCCCGACAATTTTATTAGTTGGACAGCCACCGCTTCAATTCCACAATTCAAAACTGATTAGACCACTGTCCACGACGAGGTGCCCATGTGGTGCATTATTTATGCAAATGTATTGATGGTACCCGTTCTCCTTTTTGGCCGGGGCAGATGCATGGCGGGGAGCATCCTTTACAGGCCGCGGCGTCAGCAAATCTCGATATTCTCCTGTTCAGCGACAACCGCTCCGTTGAAAATACAGCGAAAAGTATTAGTTTTAGATAAAGCATAGCGCTGAATAACAATTGATAATGCTAAGCTGAGCGTGCAATTCTCAGTGCACCACTTGGTGCACTCCGTCGGCCTGCTTCACCGAATGCGTGGTACCGACTGGAAAGGACTGGATTTGATCCCTGAAAACGATACTGGTGAGTGACTGGAACTCACTTTTAGCCTCAGAAATTTTTCCATCAAAAAATATCAGCTATTTGCGCACAAAAAATCGGGGACGAGAAAATCTTCCATTTTAATGAAATAACTAAAATACTCTCAAAGCCTCTTTTGGAAGTTGTGTTACTGTTTCATTGCTGAAGTGCCAGCTTCCCATAGAGAAAAAGTTGCAAATGAACCCCCGCAATTTTACATTCTTGGTTCTTATTACCTGAACACCTCCTATTTCAATAAATTGGGCAAAAAATTGGTTGTTTTACATGTCACTTTAACTTGTAAAGCGACCACAAAGAAAGTCGCGGATATGCTTGAACGGCTATATGGAACTGTGTGAGTGGGAGAGAACCGACAAATAGAAGAAAATAGAGAAATTGTCAATTGCATCAAAGGTGAGAAAAAATGCGATGATGAAACAAAAGCTGAACAAAGAAACAAAGCAAATATTTGCTTAAATTGCGCTTCATTTTTAGCTTTCAAAGTCAGAACTTTGTCGTACGGTTTGTTTTTTTTTTTTTTTCGGTAATTTAGCATTTCGGTTTGTTCTTAACGTTTTTTTGCTTAAACATTAAAGTGGCAAAATAGTGAAAGCTTAAACTGAAAATTTTGAAAGTTTGAATCGATGTACAATTCAAAAAGCTTGGAAAGTAGTTCCCTTGTCTTATTGAGATCAAAATTTATTTCCTGTACCTCTCTTCGTTCCTCCCTCAGAATTTACTTTTTGTACTTCTCTTCGTTCCTCCCTACCTCCCAACCCATCCCTCCGAAACCCTCAAAGTTCAAAATTGTAATTGTTTGTTTGTTTATGCCTCTGTTTTGTTAAAGAGGGTTCTACTGGCTATTTAGAAGCGCAACAAACAACAGGACCTCATCAGTATGCTATCAGAATGTTAACTGGAAAAGACAAGATCCTCCTATCTTCAACAGCTTAACGAAAGCATTGTACGTGGTGTCGTATTCCCGGATACGAAGGGGAAGAAGGACAACTGGCCTCTAAGCTAATGCACCAGGACAGGTGGTTTTATCTTATCAAAACAACAATAGTGAGAAAGGAGCGATGCTGTAGTGAGGTTCTTATCCGCGAAGCTGCTAGCTGCTGCTGGTAGTGGCAGCTCGGTGGGAGCTGGTGGAGCTGGAGCAGAGTGCACTGCTTGAAGACGACGTCCTGGTCATAAACTTCTTCCTCTCTGAGCCTCAGCTGAACCCTTAAAATCGAACTCTCTCTCTCTCACAAGCACACACCCCACCTCCCTCAGCTTCTTCCTCAATTTATTACTAGCTGGTACTTCGCCACAGCTGCAAACTTCAGCTAGCCTCATCCATCGCTCTGCTGCTGCAATGCGGCTGGCGATTGTTCCGTCAATCATCCCGGATATTTGGCCCAACAAAAAGTTCATTTTTTACCTTAGCACTCAAATACACACGTACACATAACCACGCACACACCGCGTACGCACACCCAATCACACAGACACTCATACAAGCTACACACAGACACCACGCACACCCACACGCAAAAACAAACATACAGACATTCAGCCATTCACGCAGACATACATACTCACAGACATTCACACATACATACATACATGCATACACACATGCATACATACATACATACATACACACACACATGAATGAAAGATCTGAAATCTTATAGAAAATTTATTGTGAACTTCGAATTTTTTTGGACTAATCCAGTCGGGGAAGATTTCGTTTCGGAGCAATTGCCGAATTTCAGTGAACACAAACAATTCGCAACAGTTGATGATTTGTAAAACTGTAAAAAGCCTTGAGGCGTGTCCAAGTCTGCCGAGAAATTGAAGATTGATTCAGTGTTGCAAAAAGTAGCGTTTCACGATAAAATGGGCCCCTTCTTCTTACTTTAATGTACCTCTGATAAATTAAGGTTTTGGCTCCGTGCGTTTCTGCCCGAATGAATCAACTCACAACCGCTTCAAAACTAAGCGGATAAAAACTTGTTACTCATACGGGATGTGTATGACTTAATGAACTGAAATATTCTGTTTCAGTTTTATCATACAATTTTTAGAAGTTATTTTTACATAAAAACTGCAGTTTAATACTTGTTTTTTATGTCGTTTTTCATATAAGAATTAAAAAAGTTCTAAAAGTTAAACAACTTAGAATTTTTTAAATTGTTATTCTAAGTTATACTTAGAAAAAATTCCAAATTACACTATTAAGATTTGATCTCTTTAAAAAAATTCAATTTACTTACAAATTCCAAGTTATTTTTACACAGCTGGAATTTAAGTTCTTCAAGAAAATTCAATTTTTTTCAATCATTATTCAGTCTCGACTGCCCTATTCACGTCTATCAGTTGTAATCATAAAAACGGAGTCAGTAATGCTTTTCACTAAATTCAGTTACATGAAAAGCCAAAAACTTGAAATCAAAATGTAAGTCAGTGACAAATTTCAAAACGCTCACTGAAATCGCTCT